AGTAACAAAGGGGGGTTTAGATTTGTTTGTTTTAACAACACTAAGATAAACAACCTATATGAGTTTAATTCAATGAGATGAGGACTTGGTTTTTCTTTTATCCACTTAATGAAATGTTTGTCGATCCCGGTTATATCTTTAACTATCTTCCTCTCTAATACTCAATCGAGGAGTATATCCAGTTCATCGAGGGTAGTTATTAATAACGAGATGCGTTCATTAATAAAACTTACTATCGAGTCAATATAGAACAAGCGCCGTATATTAACTTGATAGTAGCAATAAACTTAAGATGAAAACGATTGAGATTGATAACCTCAACACAAGCGGTTTATTGGTTTAATCAATATAATTAATTCCCCTTGGCGTATTAACCATGAGATGCATGCATTAATATTCCAAGTTTACTACCATTGAAAGAACCGGATTAATAACAAGCGTATTAACCGATTGATTCTAGTAATAATTAATATGAGAAACAATACTAGTTGATACTTTAAGTAATGTTTAAGATATTAACATGAAATATGAATAGGAATTAATTAATACTCAAGGAAGAATATTAAAATATATGAATCCTACTATGATTAATATCAAGATGTTAACTAATTGTCATCTTAGTAACACTCCCCAATATTATCATAGAGGAAGAAATAGCTATTACTATAACCAATGTCAAGATGTTAACTAATTGTCATCTTAGTAACACTCCCCAACTTTGATATAGAGATAGTATTTTGAAAGAAAGAATTAATATTCAAGGAAGAAGATTAAAGAAAATAACTCACAACTTACAAATTCATTAAGCTTCAAAGTAGCAAAACCAAGATGGAAGAGTTTAGCTCCTCATTTGGAGACTAAACATGATGAAAAATATAAAGAAAGAACTATTCTATACTGAGCTTAGATGTACAAAGGAATTGGATATCAAATGGGAAGGAAAAGAGGTGTATTTATAGGTGTTTGGAGGTAGCAGGGTCATTTACCCGACCGGGTTTTTGAGAAACCCGATCGGGTTTCTTGAGTAATTGCCCGGAATGTTCATTAGTCACATCTACCCGATCGGATTTTTGATTTACCCGATCGGGTAAAAGACAAATCTTTGCCAAATCTTCGCTCTGCATGTTAAATTGCCTCCAAATCAAATTTGATCTTCGGGTCAAGTCAAACCCGATCGGTTTTTTGGAAAACCCGGTCGGGTTTTTGACTATTTTCCCAAATTTTCACTTTTTGTTGTTCCCTTGCACTTTTCTTGAACCTTCCAGGATCCTTTTGACGATCTTTACCTAGTTTAAGCTCAGAAAGTCCCTAATCTAAACAAATTACAACTATTTTACAAACTAAACTATTACACCAAAAGTGTGTAATTTCCAAAGTAAAAGTCAATCAAAACTAATTAAAAATACAAAAATTTGGAGTTCTTGGCTAATGAGCTCCCTTAAAAGGAGATGCACCTTGTTGGTATGAGTAGTACTATTAATCTTTTTAAATTAAATCTCAAGTGTTAGAATCACCCCCACTTAGGAACGCAACGTCCTAGAGGTGTTGGCAAAGAACTAGATTGAGGATCTTCCTGAGTTGATTCATCTTGAGTCACTTGGTTGTTTTGTCTTAGAGGTGTGTCATCCTGACGTCGAACTAGAGTGAGTTCGGTGGTCTTGCTGCTTCTCAATCTTGGCTTTTCTGAGTTTTTAATGTCTTCAATTGTTTGGTCTTCGAAGAAGATGACATCTCTGCTACGAACAACCTTCTTGTTGTTTGGATCCCATAGCCGGTAGCCGAATTCATCCTTGGGTGAGCAAAGGTATATGCACTCCTTCGTCTTTGCGTCGAGCTTAGCTCGCTCATTTTTGGGGATGTAAACAAATGCTTTGCACCCGAACAACTTAAGATGATTGTATGAAGCCTTTTTGCCCGTCCTGATTTCCTCTGGGATGGCGCCGTTCAAAGGGACCGATGGTGTGAGGTTGACAATGTCAACTACGGCCATTATAGCTTCTCCCCAAAATGATTTGGGTAGCTTAGCATGAGAGAGCACGAAACGAACTCTTTCTTCAATTATTCTGTTCATTCTCTCTGCTAGACCATTCAATTGTGGTGTATTGGGTGGAGTCTTCTCTAGCCTAATGTCATATTTCTTGCAATAGGCTTCAAAGGGACCTCTATACTCACCTCCATCATGGAATTCCTTGAAAGCACCAAGTACTTGATCCTTTGATTTTAACAGGTGCAACCACACCTTCCTTGAATGACCATCAATGAAGGTCACAAAGTACGTTGCACCACCTAGGGATGTATACGAAGCGGATCGAGTCAAATATTTAGTGATTCGATTCGAATTCGAAGTTTTTGGCTGAGATTCGTATTTGTATTCGTTTATGTTTCGAATCTATAACAGTATTTGAATTCGATTCGTGGACTTTAATGAATATTATTCGATTTGATTCGAATATTCGTATTCGAAAATATTTTCACTTGTTTTGACTTTTTTGGGTGTATTCTATATTTCACTTCGAATCAGAATTGCAAAAGTAGTATATTATTTTAACTAATCTGTATAAAATAAATATTAAAGAAATTTTTCATGCAATATTATTTTTGGATAAACCATAAATATATAAAGTAACCAAACTTCCTATAACAAACAAGTTCAATTTGGCTTTCCCTTAATCCCTAAGTAGCAAGTTCTAACTACCAATCCTACCAATCTGCCACACAAAGAAAGCTCAATTGGCAGTCCATCTATTCACCTAAGTGCAACATCATTTCAGCAAACAAATCTGCCAAACCTGCCATAGAGGGCCAAAAAACAGTCTAAAGAACTGTTTTCTTACCATCTGACAATGGATTCATTTCATAGGCAGATTTCTCCGGTTGTAATTGTAAGGTTTTCTGCTTTCTCTTGTTAAGTTTATTTTGCAAACACCTTCTCAAATGATTCAAGAGATGACTAGTTGTAGAAGTAGCTGATTTACTAAGGAGGGACTTATAGTGTTTGCATTGAAATTTTTCAACTCCATCCTTGGTAGTCACTTCATTAAACTCAGAATGGGCTTTGGAGACCTTCTTTCTTTTCTTCCTTTTAAAATGGCTTTCATCGTCAATGTTTCCAACATCATCCTTATGGTCACCATTTTCATCGTCATTGTTTCCAGCATCATCCTTAAGGTCACCATTTTCATATTCAAAGTGTGTATGTACTTCATCTAAATTCTGAAACTGTGCAGCATCAACGTTATTTGTTCCAGTCAATTGCTTCGTTTCCTGCTATTACAAATTAAAACAACAAAACTTACGTCTAACTGATTCAATTTGACATTATTTAATAGAAGTATATCAAACAAATAATATTATTTACCTCATCAGTGTCTCGGTTTCCAGCCTCATCTTGTTAAGGCGAGTGATGATCATTCATCGTGGAGAAATGTTAAACTGAGAAATTAACACAAAGCACGGAGTGACTATTGAGAAGTTTTGTCAGTACAAACCCATTTATTTGATTCAACTAGAGTCACTACCTACTAATTCTATCAAAAAAGAAATAGTACCTTATGCTTGTTTTGCAAAGAAAGTTTCATGAGTGCTAGCTATGAAATATATACATATTAAAAAACAAAAAAAACTTAGAAATGCAATAAGGTAGACTTTCATAGCCTAATTGTTTGTACTACTTACGAGTACGTATTAATATTCAAAATCTAATATGAACCAGTAATAACTTAGGAATACATATTAATATTCAAAATCTAATATGAACCAGGAATACACATCAAACCGGACGTGCTGACTTCTAGGTCTACCGTTAGCTTTCTTACATCCTAATAATCTGAAATCTCACAAGTACACTAAGTAACCACTTAGAATCCACTCGGGACCCAGAAAATGTCGTGGAAAGAAAACAATTAAGCTACAATAAAATAAATTTGACACATCAAGCTCCAGAAGAATCAAATGACAAAACGATAAAGTACTCCAACCGGAGGTGCTGACGGAAAGTAGGTAATAACTGAATACCTAAGCGGCTGCGGCAACTCGTTACAAGGAAAGCAACATCTGAGGGTTGCGACTGAATCGGCGGTTGCGGCGGAATGGCTAATGAACTAAAGACTAGAGACTCGAGAGTAGTGAACAACTGAACATAGAAATTAGGTTTCAAGTTTGAGGAGAAGTAATGAGTCTAATGGCTCATACGGGCTAACTTAAATGGGCTCTAATAGGATTGCTGGACTTGGTTATACTGCTACATACTACGTATTATTATTATTATTATTATTACTATTATTATTATTATTATTATTATTATTATTCGAATATATTTGATTAGTTTTCGAATCGGATATTACAGTATTTGTATTTGTATTTGAAAATTAATCGAATCAAAATAACTATTTGTATTTGTATTTGTATTTGATTTTACCGAATTCGAATCTACTTATACGATATCGAATCGCGAATCGGACAAAAATTATTTGATTCGTATACATCCCTAGATGTGACTGACCCGGTGCGAGTACATGAATTGAAGGAAGCTATTAGGAATTGCAGACAAGAGGGAATGTCCATAAGCTCTTATTTTGGGAAACTGAAAACCCATCTCGGCGGCACATAATAGCTTATCTATTACTGAGGAGAGCCTATCTAGTACTGAGGAGTTCTCTCTTAGGTGTAGACCTTATCTCAGCGGCACATAATAGCTTCTTCTCTCACTGCACACTATTAGTCTTTCACTTCAACTGACTCAAATAAACAGAAAATCAAATACAAACTCCTCCTAATTTATAAACTGCAGATTTATCTTGATCATCCGTTGAACTGATCTAAATAAAGGCTGAAAGCGCACGGTGATATGTTGATAATAAAACCGAAGTTATTTCAGATGCAATTCTTTGAAAATTAATATGCAACTCTTATTACAAAAATGCTACAGGTACACACTTCATTTACACACTACTACACACTATAAATACCTTAAAAAAATTTACCCCTCTTCCCCTAACCGTAAAACACTACAGCCCCTCCCTCTCTCTCTCTTCCGCATGCTCCTTCCCCAACACTACGCTCTCCCCCTCTGCTAGACTGCTACCCCTCTTCTCCCTTTCTTCTCTCCTTGTTTCTTTTCTTCTTTCGTTTTCTTTTCTGTCTTCTACACTCCTAGATAATTTGTGCCTCCAAATGCTAGTCGGGGGAAAGCATTGCATCAATAATCTGTGCCTCATTTTTAAGGTAATTTTTGGGTTGTTCGTATATAACATTTTTCTCAAAAAGAAGAATACGTAGTATATTTTACTTGTTTGGTTTATGCGATTTAAGGTAGTTCATAGATTGTACATTTTCTGAATTTCTGTTTTAGTTATCAATTAATGTTTAGGTATGACTATCATAATTTTAATTACTAATCTTATTTATGTTTTCGGATTTTAAGTAAATTATACTCCGTATACATTATGATGTTGAATTCTAGCAGACTACTTTATGTTATTGATATAGGTGATATAGGGGTTTGATGTTAATTATTGATATTTTAATCTATTATATTTTATTCCCATTACATGTTTGTTGAAATGTTTCAATTAATATCTTGTTCATTTTTAGGTTTTGGGGAAGAGGCTGTAATAAATAGGTTATTTTTTAGCGCTTTTTCATATCTCATAGTTTACTACGATTTAGAGTTAGAATAGGTTTTACTTTTTAATGAATTTCTGTTTTAGTCACGATTTAATGTGTAGGTTTGACTATAATAGTTGTGATTATCTAAAATTTTGGGGAAAGGGGCTTTAGTAAATGATTCAATGAATTTCTTGCTCTTAGCATGGTTTGGTCAATTATATTTTGTTTCTAAATTATATTATCTGGATGTCTGGAAGTCAATATTTTTGAATCTATGGAGATAAAATTTGAGGTCCTAAATGATACTCTTAGCATGGTTTCGTCAATTATATTTTGTTTCAAAATTATATTATCTGCATGCTTTAGACTAGTTTGTTGAGTGAACATTTCTTTATGTTTTCAAGTGTTTAGTGTTTTAGGCTGGTTTATGTGAATTATTTGGTGAGCTTGGTTGATTGATTTATTACTTTTTTCTTGATTTTTTTGCCGCTCATGTTTACTCTAGGTTTAAAGAGCTTTTTTACATTGTTTTCTTGGGAGAAGATTGAGCATTGTATGGCATTGTTGTGAATGAATAATATATATGTATAGAATTACAGCCAAAGCTCCCAAATTAATCTGCTATTCTTCTGATAGGAATGCTTTCCTCCCTACTAATTAGGGATTAGCTGAACTAACCACCCCTATTTCCTACTTTCAAGCTCAACCATGTTCCTTCATTCTTATCAACTTGATACGTGGTAGTTTCACAAATTACATAGCAGCTCAATATTTTAATTAAATATTCTTGTCCTAACATTAATCACATGTGTAAATTTCTCATATAAATAAATAAGTGTGAGTGTGTGTATGAATATAAGTGGTATAGTTATTAGCGGCAACACATAGTAACACATGTACGTTTGGGGGGCGGTTGTTGAAGATCCGGTTGGGGGGCGGGGGGGTCGCTTGAGCACCAGCACCGACAGCCGCCGGAGCACAACCCGGCTGCTCATCATACCGATGAAACGTACCAATAAACATTGCTTAAATTACATCCGAAATATATATAGATAAGATGGAGGAGTATTATAAGTAAAACACTGAGAATATGGATTAAAAAGCAGTAAACTCTGCCTGAGAAGAGCATCGCCAGACAGCAGAATAGATCCTCCGATCACGGCGGGGCAGATCTGCAAATACAAAGCGCCACCGGCTTCAGGTGTTGCTGCTGGAGTAGAGGCTGTAGGAAATAAACTTGATCACTCTGTTTGTTACCTTGTTACACGTCATTAGATGGTGGTTATTTATGTTTTTCTGTACGTTTGCATGCATTCTAGAAGCTCTCACCACTACACGCACGTATGCATGAACGTGGGAAGGGTGGTTTTTCCTTTGGTAGTTACTCTCAGTTAATGCACGCATCATGTAAGTTTCAGATTGGTATTTAGGGAGTGTGTAAGGGGTTTTTTCATCCAACGCAAGTTGGGTTTTTCCCCTTAAAAAATGAATGAAAAAGAGTGTGTTTATGATCTTGTTGTTGTTCATAAATTTGCATGTTTAAATGTTTAATACTTTGCTTCTGCTTGCGTATAAGTATAAGCATTTCTAACATTTGGTATCAGAGCTACAAGGAACCAAGTTACCATGTCTACAGAATCACATGAAGAAGGAAGTTCACACGAAAAGGAATCAGTTAATCTGAGGTACCCCATGCTCACCAAAAGTAATTATGCTGCTTGGGCCATCAAAATGGAAGTGTTTATGATGGCTCAAGGGGTATGGGATGCAGTAGAAACACAAGGGAGTGTTGAAACACTCAAAGATAAGATGGCGTTGGCTGCAATTTATCAAGGGATAAGTGAAGATACCCTCCTGCAATTGGGCGCAAAAAGAACAGCAAGAGAAGCTTGGACTATGCTGAAAAATATGAACCTTGGAGCAGATAAAGTGAAGGAGGTAAGAACTCAATCACTTCTAAGAGAATTTGAATCTATGAAAATGAATGAAGGAGAAAGCATTGATGATTATGCCAGCAAAATGCAAATAATAGTCACAAAGTTAAGAGGACTAGGAAATACAGTGGAAGAGGTTAAAGTAGTGAAGAAACTCCTGAGATCTGTCACACCTAGGTTCCTGCAGATAGCCTCTACCATTGAAGAATTTGGTGATATAGAAAACAAAACTTCAGATGCTCTAATAGGTTCTCTTAAAGCATTTGAAGAAAGGATGCAAGGCTATGATTCAAAGGAAGAAGATACAGTTCTGCTTACTCAAGCAGAGTGGAGAGCTAGAGAGGATGGAGATTCATCAAAAGGAAACACAAGAAATCAAGAGAGATATAGAGGAGGAGGAAGAAGAGGACGTGGCAGAGGGAGAAACAACAATTGGTCACAAAGGAAGGAAGAAGAGCCTCAGCAAAAGAGAAAATTTGATAAATCAAAAATTAAATGTTATAATTGTGAAAAATGGGACACTTTGCATCTGAATGTTACTCAGAAGAGAAAGAAGAACAAGCCAATATCACTGAACAGGAGGAAGATGAGGCGCCTGCGCTACTAATGATAGAATCTTGTGAACTGGCCAAAGCTCATACAGTGAAGGAAAGGGAAAATGACAAAGCCACAAACCAGAAAAAGAAAGACAAGTCAGAATGGTATTTGGACACAGGAGCAAGTAACCACATGTCAGGAGATAGAAATCATTTCACTGAAATGGATCACTCAGTTCAAGGGAAGGTGAGATTTGGAGATGGATCAATGATAAATATACACGGACAAGGGTCTGTTATATTTCAATGCAGCAATGGTGAGCATCTAGTACTGCCAAAAGTGTATTATATACCTAAGTTGAAAAGCAATATCATAAGCATAGGGCAACTTGATGAAGATGGCAGTCAAGTGTCAATTAAAGGAGGTGAACTGAGGATTCATGATCAAACTAGCAGGCTTCAAATGAAGGTTCAGAGGCAGCCAAATAAGTTATTCATAGCAACTCTGAGAAATGCAGAACGAGTTTGCCTACTAACAAGTTTATCAGAAAAATCCTGGCTATGGCATGCCAGATTTGGTCATCTAAACTTTCAAGCCCTTAAGAAGCTGTCAAGTCAAAGAATGGTAGAAGGTATGCCTGATGTATCTCAGATGAATCAAGTGTGTGAAGGATGCTTGGTGGGTAAACAACACAGAACAACATTTCCCCAGAAGTCATGCTTCAGAGCTAAAAGCAAGCTTGAACTAGTTCATGGAGACCTTTGTGGACCTATTTCACCATCAACTCCAAGAGGTAACAACTACTTTTTACTTCTTGTTGATGATTACACGCGTTTTATGTGGATATTCCTCATAAAGCATAAAGGAGAGGCACTGGAATCTTTCAAAAGGTTCAAACACTTGGCAGAAAAGGAAGTAAATGAAAAGGTAAAATGTTTTAGAACAGATAGAGGTGGAGAGTTCACCTCTAATGAGTTTGATAGGCACTAGTTGTTAGTGCCTAAGTGTACATTTTTATTATCATTTGTAATATCTATTTACTAGTATTGTGCAAGTTTATAGTTGTTAGTTTGCATTTGATTGTAATCGTATTTCTAGCATTTTATTGTTTGTTGTAAGTTGTAGTTAGTTTGGCTATAAGTTTAGGATAGGTTTGGAAGCAAAAAGGATGAAGAAACCTGAGTTTTGTGCAAAACCCGGTCGGGTATGAACTATACCCGGCCGGGTATGAAGTGACAAAGAAACTGCTGCAAAACTAGCAAATACCCGGTCGGGTATCCCATATACCCAGTCGGGTATTCTGTGATTTCGGACCAAGGAACGTGCAGAAGACACAAAAACATGGGAAAATATTTGATTTGGTAAATACCCGGTCGGGCATGTCAAAATACCCGGCCGGGTATCCGACATTAGGTGTTGAAAACACCTATAAATAGCCCCATTTTCCTTCACATTTCATCAATCCCTTCTTCCATTCTCTTTAGCTCAGTTTAGAATAGCATTTCTTTATATTTTTCTAGCTATGTTTAGTCTCCAAATGAGGAGCTAAACTTCCATTCTTGGTGTTGCCCTTGAAGCTTGTTGATTATTAAAGTTGTGAGTTATTTTCTTAACTTCTTTCCTTGAATATTAATTAATAGTTCTTTCCTTAATACCATCTCTATATTAATGTTGGGGAGTGTTGCTAAGATGACAATTAGTTAACATCTCGACATTAGTTAGAATGGTATTTTCTTCCTCTATATTAATATTGGCGAGTGTTGCTAAGATGACAATTAGTTAACATCTTGATATTAATTATAGTAGGATTCATCTTCTTTAATAATATTCTTCCTTGAATATCAATTAATTCCTACTCATATTTCATATTAATATTTTGAACATTACTTAAAGGATTAACTATTTTTGTTTCATATATTAATTATTACTAGAAACGATCAACGAACCGATGGTTAATCGTTGATGGTTTCACAAGTAAGTAACTTCGGTTTATTAATGCACGGTCGTGGTTAATAAACTTAAGAGAGATTAATTTTGTTGGTTAAACCGAAACCGTTGTGTTGAGGTTATCAATCTCAATTGATTTCATCAAGGAGTTAGAAAGATTAAATGCTACTATTAAATCGGTATAAGGCGTTGTTTTATATTTGATTAATAGTAAGGGTTATTAATGGACGGTTGTTGTTAATAACTACCCTCGATGAAGTGGATATACTCCCCGATTGAGTATTCGAGAGGGAATAAGTTATAGATATAACAATGATCGACTAAAATATATCAACAAGTGGAAAGTAGCAATGCCAAGTCCTTTTTATCTTTGAGTTAAACACATATAGGTTGTTCATCTTAGTTCTTAATTATATCAAATCACTCAATCCAAATCCCCCCTTTTTATTTACTAAGTATCATAAAAAGAGAATTATTCCTTTCCCGGTGGATACGAACTCTACTACACTATACTACGTATAAGTGTTTAGTATTGAATTTATTTTGACGCACTGTGACAAAGTGCTCGTCAAATTTGGCGCCGTTGCCGGGGAAGGCAATTATTTTTCTTTCTATTTTATTTCAAGAAAAATAAAAAAAAACATTTAAAAGATTTCTATTTTGGCTGAGCTTTGTTTGAGTATATGGTTAAACACCAATCTATAAACCAAATCACCTACCAAACAAAACCTGAAACAGAACAAGCCTTCGAGAGGTTCAGGAATCTATTTCCGAATACTTCTTCGGAGGAATCATCAAGTGCTAGTTCTCATTCTAGCGAATCCGAAGAGTCCTTCCACATGGCTCTGGAAACAAGAACGCTGAGGGAGCTCACGGCTCCGAATCTAAATCAACAACCCTTATGTATCACTTTTCCAACTCTTGATACGGGGGTCACATTCGAGCTAAAATCTGGGCTCATTCATCTACTTCCCTCTTTCCATGGCCTACGAGGGGAAGATCCAAATAAACACTTGTCGGAATTCCATATTGTGTGCACAAGCATGTGCCCCAATGGCGTGTCCGAGGAGCAAATCAAGTTGAGAGCCTTCCCATTCTCCCTCAAAGACCCCGCCAAAGATTGGCTATTCTATCTTCCCTCGGGGAGCATCAATACATGGGCTCAAATGAAAAAGAGCTTCCTTGACAGGTACTATCCCGCATCTATCTCTTCAAGTCTCAAGAAGCAAATCAGCAACATTGAGCAAGCGGATAATGAGACATTATATGAATATTGGGAGCGCTTAAAAAAATTATGTGCTAGTTGCCCATATCATGGGTATTCAGAACAAGATCTCATCCTCTACTTCTACGATGGACTTGTTGATCAAGATAGACGCATGGTGAATGCGGCATGCGGAGGGGGTATTGTTAACAAAACCCCTTCTCAAGCAAGAGACCTCATTTCGGAGTTGGCCGAAAACTCGAGACATTACAACGGAAGGACATCATCGAAACGAGTCATGGCAGCGGAATCTAACAACTCGTTGGAGAGTCAAGTAGCCGGCTTGACTTCTTTGTTTAAAGATTTCCTTTTAAATCCAAAAACCCAAGAAGTCAAGGTCTGCGACATCTGTTCAACGCAAGGGCATCCCTCAGATTCTTGTCCAATGCTACAAGAAGAGAACTCCGAGCAAGTCAATGCTTTGGGGTTGCAAGGTCAAAGGAGGTACGATCCTCAAGGCAATACTTACAACCTGGGATGGAGGGATCATCCGAATTTAAGGTACGGAAATTCTCAAACAAACTCTCCTCCCCAACAATATAAACCACAAGGCCAAACATCGAACTCGAATATGTCCACCGAAGACATGATTCGAGCGTTGGCCGTTAATATGGGAACAATGAAGCAAAGCATGGGGCAATTCCAACAAACCATGATGCAATTCCAACATGAAACCAAGTCGAGCATTCAAAATTTGGAAACTCAAGTTAGCCAAATTTCAAGTGTCGTAAGTCGACTTGAAGCAAAAGATTCGGGTAGGCTCCCCTCCCAAACTGAGCAAAACCCAAGACAACATGTCAATGCAATCATGTTGAGGAACGGTAAAGAATTGCACCCACGGAAAGTTGAGGAGGAGAAGCAAGAGGTTGATCTTGAAGAAGGCTTTCAACAGGAAGAGGAGAAGCCAACGAAGACTAAATTCCCTCCACAGTCATCATATGAACCACTCCCTCCATTCCCTGAGGCATTGAAAGACACGAGGAAGCTGAAGAATGATCGGGACATCTACGAAACATTCGTCAATTCTGAGGTAAACATCCCACTCTTCAAACTGATCAAAAGTGTTCCCCGTTATGCAAAGTTCTTAAAGGAACTATGCACAATGAAAAAGAAAAATAAAATGGAAGGGAAACAAAAGGTTGAAGTTAGTGAACGTGTCTCGGCCATTTTTAAAAAGAAACTCCCTGAGAAATGTAGCGATCCAGGCATGTTCACTATTCCTTGCAAAATAGGGGATACCTTATTTTCTAAGGTCTTGTTGGATTTAGGAGCATCAATAAATGTCATTCCTTATTCCTTATATAAATCCTTACAACTCGGCCCACTACATCAAACTGGTGTAGTGATTCAACTAGAGGATCGGTCTAATACTTACCCGGAGGATGTAGTAGAAGATGTGCTAGTAGAAGTAGAAAATTTGATTTTCCCTGTTGATTTTTATGTTCTGGAAATGGGAGATGATAACCAAACCACGCCCATTCTTTTGGGAAGACCCTTCTTAAAAACCGCTAAAACAAAAATTGATGTGTCTAGTGGTTCATTAACAATAGAATTTGATGATCAAAAAGTAGAATTCAACATCTTTGATTCTACCGAAAGACAGATTAAAGATCAATCTCTTTGTTCTTTAAATGTTTTTGAACCACCGCCAACACTAAATATTTTTGTTACAGAGGAAACAAAAAAATTCTCAATTTTTAATAAAATAAAAATTGAGCCAAAAAAATCTATTTTGAAAAAAGAAGAATTTGAAAAGTCGCCTCAGTGCGAGTTAACACCACCGACACTTGAGGTGTTGACAAAGAAGAAAATTCGGCCTTACTGGAAAAGGTCGAAGAAAAAAGCTGAAATATGGCCAAACATGGCCTTTGAAAATGAAACGAGGGATGCTCACGATTCCACTTAAAACAGAAAATAAAATAAAAATAACGTCGTGCCGCGACATTAAATCAAGCGCTTCTTGGGAGGCAACCCAAATTTTTATTTTAATTATTCCCATTTTCAGTTGTGTGTGTTAAATTAAGAATTTGTGTTTTTTTTATTATTTTCAAAAAAAAAATGAACTGGGATTGGACCCGGCCGGGTATAAACCCCAACCCGGTCGGGTTACTTCTAAAAACAAAACACCCGGGCAACCACCCGGGCGAGGCGAGAGCAAAACAAACATTAATTATGCGCCCGACCGGGTAGACTTTTATACCCGGCCGGGCAAACCAGCTAAACCTTTCTGCCTCGGGTGAACAGTTTACACCCGACCGGGTAGACCACTTCACCCGGCCGGGCCATCCAACAAAAAACATTCTGCCTCGGGTAAATAGCGCACACCCGACCGGGTAAACTACCCCACCCGACCGGGCGAACGGGAAAAAGAACTATACCAGGTCGGGCTCACCCCCTTCCCCTCCCATTTCTTCTTCCTCCCAACACCCAAAATACCCAAATTCCACCATTTTCAAACAACCCAACCTTCGAATCTCCCCATTTCCTTAACCAAATCCACTAAAAAACCTGATTTTCTTCATCTTTCACTTCCCTCTTCAACCCTATACCCATAAAATCCCCCAAAACCTTCCAAATCAAGCAAACCCAAAAACTCTACCCAAAAATTCGAAAATCCCCATTATTGGACATTCAAGGTCCGAAATCTTCCCAACAATCCTCAACCAATACCATATTCTTACTCTCCTCACCATCCTCTTCAACCCCATACCCATAAAGGCCATCCAAATCCCACCCTACCCCAAAGTCCGAAAATCCCCTTAAAAAAACAAAAAAAAATCAATTCCCATGGCTCCAAAAAAATCCAAAGCTTCTTCTTCAAGGGCAATCCCACCGGTAGCGGGCTATGAAAGCGTGGAATTTGCAACGGAGGCACAAAAGCGACTCTTCGAGGGACAAGCACAAAGGGAGGTAAAACAATCCCGATTCATGTGCATTACTACTCTAGCCTTCCTTTGGATTGATGTGATCATGCGTGATATATTTGCAAGAATTGGAATGACTAGGTTGCTAGAAATGAAATATGTGACTTATCCTCATTTGGTTTATGAATTCTTTAGTTCATATGTGTATACAAAGGATGATGATGATCATGCAAATGACACCATCACCTTTCGTTTACTCAATGAAAATCGTTCATTGACCAAAAGAGAATTTGCACATCATTTTGGCCTCCCTCTGTTTGATGAAGCTCGTGCTTATGATACGCTTGTGGGGTACGAGTTATGGAAAAGAATGACAGGACAAGGTGTGGTTGACCTTTCTAAGTTGAGTGTGAACTGTGTTCAACACCCGGTCTTCCGTATTTTCCTAAAATTCTGTTCAAATTGTTTCCTCGGAAGACCGAACAATCACCACACAAGAATGTGGGATGTGTGTGTTCTGGCACAAGCTGTTTTACCTGGACCAGAACCAGTTGACGTTGCCTCTATCTTATGGACCCATTTAAAAATGTGGCAACGTCATCCGAACAAATTGTGATAGGGGGCCTAATCACACATCTAGCCACTTTATATGGCTTTGTAGACCTAGGCCCCATTACCCCGAAACAGCTCATTTGCACGTCATGGCTTGTGCAAAAGACCAAAGATTTGGCTCTATCTCACATGACACCTACTGGGACACCAATCTACAACTGGTTTATCATCCCACGTCAAAACATAACTATCCATATCCCGTCCCCTGACGTCCCCCTAGATATCGTGGGCCATGAAATCGGTGATGGTCATCACTATTGTCTCCCCGGGGCAATCCCGGCACACTATGCACAAGATGAACCTGATCAAGAACATGCTGAAGAAAACCCACCCTTGATACCTAACCCACCACAACACTAACCTGATGCTCCGGCCTACCAATACTCACCATTCGAGCAACAGATGCTCAATAACATGAACATGATCAACAATAACTACATCCAGCTTCAAGAGCGAGGTTATCAGTATAGAACTGAACGGAGGCATAGCTTTGAGAGGTTGGAGGAACAACGACAGGAAGACTGGCGGAGATACGAAGAGGACCAACGGCGAACCTTTGGTCTTATATACTCCTATGTAGCACACCAGGGCTCCTTTTCCTCTATGACCACTCCACCTCCTGCACCATCATGGTATGACCCCTCTCAGTGGGGTTTCTTTGGAGGATCGAGTTCCGGTGGTGGAGGCGACGATGGTGGTTATGGCGGGGATCACATGGATGAGGACAGACACCAAGGTGGAGGTCTAGGCGGACACTAGGGGTAGTGCCATGAACTAGCTGGGGGGGAGAACTATTCTGGTATGATCCCATTTCATACTCTTTATTCTTGCTATTAAAAAAAAAATAAAAAAATATATATATTTAAGCTTGTTAGGTTGAAAACCCAAAAAGGGCAATTTAAGCAAAATAAAAGCAAAAAAAAAGAAGTGAGTTGGGGAGAATTAAAAAGGAAAATGTGGGAAGCTGGGATGAAAACCCGAAAGGGCACCTAGGCAAAATGAGAGAATGAGAGAAAGTATTTCTTTTATATTTGCAGGATCCTAAGGGTACACATAAGGAGCAAAAGAAGAGGAACCCAATGATGCTGAAGACCTTTTATTCATGTGTTTTGATCATTGAAACATTCTTTTATGTTAATTTTCAAAAACACTTGTGAATTGTTGTAATTGCTATAATTGTGGGGGTGGAAACCTCATGGACAGGATTTGTTTTACTCGAGACGAGTAAAAGTTCAAGTGCGGGGGTGTTTGATAGGCACTAGTTGTTAGTGCCTAAGTGTACATTTTTATTATCATTTGTAATATCTATTTACTAGTATTGTGCAAGTTTATAGTTGTTAGTTTGCATTTGATTGTAATCGTATTTCTAGCATTTTATTGTTTGTTGTAAGTTGTAGTTAGTTTGGCTATAAGTTTAGGATAGGTTTGGAAGCAAAAAGGATGAAGAAACCTGAGTTTTGTGCAAAACCCGGTCGGGTATGGACTATACCCGGCCGGGTATGAAGTGACAAAGGAAACTGCTGCAAAACTAGCAAATACCCGGTCTGGTCGGGTATCCCATATACCCGGTCGGGTATTCTGTGATTTCGGACCAAGGAACGTGCAGAAGACACAAAAACATGGGAAAATATTTGATTTGGTAAATACCCGGTCGGACATGTCAAAATACCCGGCCGGGTATCCGGCATTAGGTGTTGAAAACACCTATAAATAGCCCCATTTTCCTTCACATTTCATCAATCCCTTCTTCCATTCTCTTTAGCTCAGTTTAGAATAGCAGTTCTTTATATTTTTCTAGCTATGTTTAGTCTCCAAATGAGGAGCTAAACTTCCATTCTTGGTGTTGCCCTTGAAGCTTGTTGATTATTAAAGTTGTGAGTTATTTTCTTAACTTCTTTCCTTGAATATTAATTAATAGTTCTTTCCTTAATACCATCTCTATATTAATGTTGGGGAGTGTTGCTAAGATGACAATTAGTTAACATCTCGACATTAGTTAGAATGGTATTTTCTTCCTCTATATTAATATTGGGGAGTGTTGCTAAGATGACAATTAGTTAACATTTTGATATTAATTATAGTAGGATTCATCTTCTTTAATAATATTCTTCCTTGAATATCAATTAATTCCTACTCGTATTTCATATTAATATTTTGAACATTACTTAAAGGATCAACTAGTTTTGTTTCATATATTAATTATTACTAGAAACGATCAACGAACCGATGGTTAATCATTGATGGTTTCACAAGTAAGTAACTTCGGTTTATTAATGCACGGTCGTGGTTAATAAACTTAAGAGGGATTAATTTTGTTGGTTAAACCGAAACCGTTGTGTTGAGGTTATCAATCTCAATTGATTTTATCAAGGAGTTAGAAAGATTAAATGCTACTATTAAATCGGTATAAGGCGTTGTTCTATATTTGATTAATAGTAAGGGTTATTAATGAACGGTTGTTGTTAATAACTACCCTCGATGAAGTGGATATACTCCCCGATTGAGTATTCGAGAGGGAATAAGTTATAGATATAACAATGATCGACTAAAATATATCAACAAGTGGAAAGTAGCAATGCCAAGTCCTTTTTATCTTTGAGTTAAACACATATAGGTTGTTCATCTTAGTTCTTAATTAAATCAAATCACTCAATCCAAATCCCCCCTTTTTATTTACTAAGTATCATAAAAAGAGAATTATTCATTTCCCTGTGGATACGAACTCTACTACACTGTACTACGTATAAGTGTTTAGTATTGAATTTATTTTGACGCACCGTGACAAAGTGCACGTCAGAGTTCAGGGATTTGTGTAATGATGAGGGAATAAAGAGGCATTTGACTGCACCATACTCACCCCAACAAAATGGGGTAGTAGAAAGAAGAAATCAGACCATTGTTGAAATGGCAAGAAGTATGCTGAAAAGTAAAACCATGCCAGCATGTTACTGGGGTGAAGCTGTAAGAACCTCAGTCTATTTATTCAATAGAGCACCAACTAAGAGTATGGATGGGGTGACTCCCTATCAGGCTTGGTATGAGAAAACTCCAAATGTACATCATTTACGTGTGTTTGGATGTTTAGCTCATGCTAAGGTGGTATCACCTCACCTCACTAAACTAGCTGATAGAAGTGTCAAAACTGTACTACTTGGATATGAGGAAGGGTCAAAGGCCTACAGGTTGTTTGATCCAACCCAAAAGAAGATCCTGGTTAGCAGAGATGTAGTGTTTGAGGAGGACAAAGGCTGGAACTGGCAGGCTGAACAAAGCAGAGAAGAAGAAAAAGGCCATGACAGTTTTTCAGTTCATGTAAAAGTAGGAAGAAGAAATGAAAATCAATTTGAAAACATGTCAAATAATCAAGAAGAAGATGCAGACTCTCTAGTGTCTCATACACCTCAAGAATCTCCAGTAACCTCACCCAGGTCACACGCCAGCTCAAGTACAAGTTCAGGAAATTTGAACTTCAGATCATTGCAAGACATTTATGATGCCACTAGAGAAATAAGTGAAGAGGTGGGTCTATGTTTCTTGTCAATAGAGGAACCATCAAGTTATGCTGAGGCTGCAGGACATGAAAAATGGAGAGAAGCTATGGCCTTGGAGATAGACTCTATACAAAAGAATGGAACATGGGAGTTGACTGATCTACCCAAGAACCATAAGACAATTGGACTGAAGTGGATCTTTAAGTTGAAAAAGAATCCAGAAGGGGAGATAGTCAAGTACAAAGCCAGATTGGTGGTTAAAGGGTATTCTCAGAAGTATGGGATTGACTATAGAGAAGTGTTTGCTCCAGTTGCAAGAATGGAAATAGTTAGAGTCCTACTAGCACCTGCAGCACATATGAAGTGAGATGTCCATCATCTAGATGTCAAAACAGCATTCCTTAATGGAGAATTAAAAGAAGAAGTGTATGTTGTGCAGCCAGAAGGTTTTGAAGATTCAGAGAATCCAAACAAAGTCTTAAAACTCCATAAGGCTTTGTATGGCTTAAAACAGGCTACTAGAGCATGGAATGAGAAACTTGACACCTGCTTGAAATCTTTGGATTTCAAAAGATGTATCTATGAAAATGCTGCGTATGTGAAGAGAGAAAATTAACAAGTCACAGTTGTAGGAGTATATGTTGATGATCTGATCATTACAGACTCATGCACTAAACTCATTCAAGAATTCAAGAAAGAAATGATGAACATTTTTTAAATGAGTGATCTGGGACTGCTGTGTTACTATCTTGGAATTGAAGTAAGGCAAAGAAGGGATGCTATAACCTTATGTCAGACAAGCTATGCAAAAAAGATTCTTGAAAAGATGGGTATGATGGAATGCAATCCTTGTTGTATTCCAATGGAACCTAGAAGCAAATTCAGCAAACATAATGGAGATCCACCAGTTGATTCTACTTTATACAGGAGTGTGATAGGAAACCTCATGTATTTGATGAATACCCGTCCTGATCTTGCCTATTCAGTAGGCATTATGAGCAGATACATGGAGACTCCATCAACAACACACATGAATGCAGTAAAACAAATTTTAAGATACATAAAGGGGACAATTGACAAGGGGTGCATATACAGAAAGGGCCAAGAAAATGAGAGATTCATTGGCTTCAGTGATAGTGACCTTGCAGGAGATATTGATGATAGAAAGAGTACAACTGGGATCCTATATTTCTTGGGAAACAGCCCAATCACATGAAGTTCACAAAAGCAAAGAATTGTGGCTTTGTCATCATGTGAGGCTGAATACATGGCTGCAACTAGAGGGGCTTGTCAAGCAATATGGCTCACAAAACTATTGGAAAGCTTGCATGGAGGGATCTTTTATTTTTGTATAGGAATTAGTGGGTCTTTTAATATAAAAGGAAAAGATGTATAGACTTTTACACATGAAACAATATACACACATATTTCGCATATGTATTCTTCTTTTCGCCTAGTTTCTAGGGGTAACAATAATATGATATTTATGAAAAGTTACTACGTATTAATTAAGATAAACAATATTTATTGAAAACAAGAAAAAAGGAACAAGAGACTTGAAAAGTAATTACTCCGTATGATGGATTGATGGCACATATGAAAAGTAATGGACAAAGCTCGGAAGGCCGCAGGAACAAGCAAGAAACCTAGCATGAATGGAAACCCGGGTTTCCGCATATCACAACAGTCACACCACCGGGAAATGTAGGGAGAGAGCCGGTGAGCTGATTATTTGAAAGGTCCAGCTTCACAAGAGAGGGCAAAGTTGTAAGGCTTTTGGGGATAGGACCGGTCAGGTTGTTATTATTAAGGTAGAGATAGTTCAACGATTGGAGGCGGGATAAGTCGGGTATTTCGCCAGATAACTGGTTGTATTGCAGTTCGATTTGATCGAGTCCAGTCAAGTTCTGTAACGCGGAGATGCCGCCGGACAAAGTGTTGTTCGACAGGTAAAGACCTGTCAAGCTAACGTTGAAGAAGGTTGGTCATAAGACCTTCAGGGAGCTCCCATGGTGCCAGCTGGTCATTGTTGTCCATCTCAACAAATTGGAGCTCAGCCTTGGAGTCGAACAGGCCAGGCGCGATTGAACTGAACCGGTTTTCGGTAACCACTAGTGAATGGAGCCGCGGCGAGCCGGTAAAGTTGGGAATCACGCCTTCAAGATTGCAGTGGGGGACGTCGAAGTAGTTTAAGTTGGGGAGGTCGTTTTGGTTGGTGGGAGGCACAGTGCCGCCGCTAACGTCAGAACTCCCAAGCGTTATCTGATAAACCCTGCCTTCATCATTGCAGGTCACGAGATCAGTAGTCCAGTTGCAGGGACTGGACGAGGCATTCAGTGGATCGAGTTGGACCCCCGACCACGTCACACTTGTTCTCAGCTGCTCCATTATACGGTTGTCCTCAGTGCCCCACGTCACATTCTGCGCCATCACCGCACAAGCCCCGGCGGCCGCTGCAAACAAAAACACAAGCAAGCTGCGGCTGCTGCTGGACGGCGCCATCATTATTTTACTTTGGAATTTGGCGTGATCGATGGAGTACCAGTATGCTGCGCCGGGCCATCTCTATATATACTAGGCCATACCTATCTACGGAGTATATAACGAGTATTCCATCAGTCCTAATTTGATGCACCGTATAAGATTTGACTAATCATAAACTACTCAGATTTGATTACTCTCTCCTGTCCTAAATAAACTTCACAAATTCTTTTATGGGTAGGTTCAAAATAAACTTCACACTTCTTCTTCCTTCCTTATTTGGCAAATTATCTACACCAAAACAGTGCAAAACCGTGTCAAACAATGTCACAATAGTGTACTCTACAATAAAGTCAAATTTATTTCCTTAATTTGTGTGAAGTCAAAGTGTGAAGTTTATTTAGAACCAGAGGGAGTATAAGATATGACCAATCATAAACTAAACAAATTTCTGTTCATATTTATTTTTTTAGTAAATGAAATTAAGTACTCACTCGGTTCCTGTTTTATCTTCCAAATAGGTTTGTCACACAATTTAATATAGTGGGTATTGTGTGGTGGAGAGTTGTGCAGAGGAGAGAGAAATGTGTAAAAATGTTGTCAACCACAAATTCTTTACTAAAAAGGGAAAGTGAAAATTTTTAATTGGAACGGACGAAAAAAGAAAGTAGAAAGTTTTAATAGGAACAAGGTATAAATGTATAATCGGTCAACATTTGATTAAATAAAAAGGGATGGAACGGGTCAAGGGGTAACAAAGTGAAAAATTCGTACATATACGAAGTACAATAAAATGTTACTCCCTTCGTCTCATATTTATCTTCATAGTTACTATTCACATGGTCAACTCAAATTACTCTTAATCTTTTACTTTATATATCAAATTTTTATCAAACTTAAATTTTCTTGATCAGACTTTGTAGCGGATTTAATGTAGTTTCTGAATATGTAAATTTAATTTACTAAAAATAATCTGAGTGTGAACAGGGATCAAGTTACTTTTTCGTCAGTCAAGCATCGTAAACCGAACTACGAAGATAAATATGGGACGGAGGGAGTAATAATATACTCTCTCCGTCCCGAAAAGATTGGCCAAAGTTGACTTTCATATGGATTAATAAAGTAAAAACCATGTGATTGAAATTTGTGCAGAAGAGAGAGAATTGATTTTATAGCCAGACATCTGAGGAAAACCATATAGACAACTAAAAAATGCACAAACATATAAGAACAGACTACACAGACATCTCATGAAAAGCATATAGACAACTAAAAATGCACAAACATATAAGAAAATGCTACATAGACATCTCAGGAAAACCATATAGACAACTAAAAAATGCACAAACATATAAGAACAGACTACACAAACATCTCATGAAAACCATATAGACAACTAAAAAATGCATAAACATATAAGAACATACTACACAGACATCTCATGAAAAGCATATAGACAACTAAAAATGCACAAACATATAAGAACAGACTACACAGACATCTAAGCAAAACCATATAGACAACTAAAAAATGCACAAACATATAACAGACTACACAGACATCTCTTGAAAACCATATAGATAACTAAAAATGCACAAACATATAAGAACACACTACACAGACATCTCCGGAAAACCATAAAGACAACTTTGCTACGTACAACTGTATAACAACAAACTACACAGACATCTCAGTAAAACCATAAGCTAAATTAAAACTAAAAAACAATTATACATAGTTATATCTCATTGAAACATTTCAACAAACACTTAATAGGCATAAAAGTGAGCTATAATAGTTGAATTAAATTCTAAATTATAACAAATCCATACTGATATTACAATTGATATTACATTGTAACAAACATTCATCAACATCACCACAACATATTTTGTATAAATAAAATTAAAAAACGGGAAAAAATATAACCTTAAATGCACAAAAAATATGAAATAAAGTATTACCTCATGAATAATATTTGAGAGAGCAAAGTAGATTCAATTGTGACTCCTATTTTTCTGTGCGGATTTAGATCTGCAAAAAAAGTGAGAGCTTTTGAAATGAAGAAAACAAGAAAAGAAAAGAAAAGAAAAAAGATGGAGAGAGAGAGAGATAAAGAGAGTTATTTACGAGGGAGAAGGAAGGAGGAAAAGCAACCATTCTTGATGTACACACCCTTGTACACACCTTATACACACCATGTTTGTGAAGCTTTTTTTTTGTCTGTTGACGTGCACTTGTCGTGAGGTGCACTCAAAATAATTACAATACAACACTAATACGTAGTATAGTGAAGTAAGGTTCGTATCCACATGGAAAGGAACACTTTTCTTCTATGTAAATAGTAACAAGGGGGGTTTTCAGTTTGATTTGATTTAATTCAATTAATACTAAGATAAACAACCTATATGAGTTTAATTAATAGATGTGGAGGCTTGGTTTTGCTTTTATCCACTTAATGAAATGTTTGTCGATCCCGGTTATATCTTTAACTATCTTCCTCTCGAGTACTCAATCGAGGAGTATATCCAGTTCATCGAGGGTAGTTATTAATAACGAGATGCGTTCATTAATAAAACTTACTATCGAGTCAATATAGAACAAGCGCCGTATATTAATTTGATAGTAGCAATAAACTTAAGATAAAAACGATTGAGATTGATAACCTCAACACAAGCGGTTTATTGGTTTAATCAATATAATTAATTCCCCTTGGCATATTAACCATGAGATGCATGCATTAATATTCCTAGTTTACTACCGTTGAAAGAACCGGATTAATAACAAGCGTATTAACCGATCGATTCTAGTAATAATTAATATGAGAAACAATACTAGTTGATACTTTAAGTAATGTTTAAAATATTAACATGAAATATGAATAGGAATTAATTAATACTCAAGGAAGAATATTAAAGAATATGAATCCTACTATGATTAATATCAAGATGTTAACTAATTGTCATCTTAGTAACACTCTCCAATATTAACATAGAGAAAGAAATAGCTATTACTATAACCAATGTCAAGATGTTAACTAATTGTCATCTTAGTAACACTCCCCAACTTTGATATAGAAATAGTATTTTAAAGGAAGAATTAATATTCAAGGAAGAAGATTAAAGAAAATAACTCACAACTTACAAATTCATTAAGCTTCAAAGTAGCAAAACCAAGATGGAAGAGTTTAGCTCCTCATTTGGAGACTAAACATGATGAAAAATATAAAGAAAGAACTATTCTATACTGAGCTTAGAAGTATGGAAGAAGGGATTATTAAAAGTGAAGGAAAATGTGGCTATTTATAGGTGTTTTACAACACCTTTGGCCGGGTACCCGACCGGGTCAAAGGACATACCCGGCCGGGTAAATATCAAAATCAGATATTCTCCACGTTATGGTGATCTTCGGCACGTTCTGGTGTTCCGGGTCAATTATGACCCGACCGAGTGGCATATGGGACTCGACCGGGTACAGCTCTTTCCTTGAAATTTCGGTTGTTAAATCAGACCCGACCGGGTGAAGTCTTTTACCCAGTTAGGTTTCAGCTCCTGGATAGTCCAATCTCCTTTTTCTTCACTTCAAAGTCCTCCTTTTCAACACCATAATTCCTAATTCTACTTTACAACTAATAAATGAATGTTAAAATACAATTACAACTAAATTCACACAAATGTTTACAAACTAAATATAACGGTAAACAATACACACAAATCAATCATAAAAATATATATTTATGCACTACTAATTAGTGCATATCAAATACCCCCACACTTGAACCTTTACTCGTCTCGAGTAAATCAAATCCGGTCCAAGAAGTCCTTAAAATGACAAGAATATCAACACACATAATAAAGTATATCCCAAAAAATATAACAGTAAAGAGGGTCTTCAACTCCATATTTCTTTATCAACCTCATTCCCCCCCTCCCTTTTTTTTCGTTACCCTTAGGATCCTGCAGAAATAAAAGAAAGTACTTTCTCTCGTTCTCTCATTTTGCCTAGGTGCCCTTTCGGGTTTTCATCCCGGCTTCCCACATTTTTCTGTTTTAATCCTCAGAACTCACTCTTATTTTTGCTTTATTTTTGCTTAAGTTGTCATTTCGGGTTTTCAACTTAACAAGCTTTTACAATTTTTTTTTATAAATATATATTTTTTACAAGAATAAAGAGTATGAATGTGAGTATTCCATAAAACTCTCCCCCCAAGCTAATCAAAGCACTGTCCCTAGTGCTTGTGTCTGATATGAATGTGTTTTTTTTTTGTTACTTGTAGGGAGGTTTTGTCGGTGATTTGTGGTGTGGAGATGAAAAGGGTGAAGAGGTGATGAATGAAATGGGTTTAATTGGTGGATGGATGTAGGAGATATGAAGCTTTTGACTTTTAGAAATGGAGGAAATTTGGGGTGTGGTTCGAATGGGAAGATAAGAGAATGGGGAAGAAAAGCTGCCCGGCCGCCCGACCGGGTATAGTGACTGACCCGGTCGGGTGTAAGCTGTTCACCCGAGGCAGAATTTTTTTTGTTGGGTTGCCCGGCCGGGTATGGTGGTCTACCCGGTCGGGTGTTTGATTTATTCTTGTTCCGCTCTTGCCTCGCCCGGGTGGTTGGCCGGGTGTTTTGTTTTTAGAGGTAACCCGACCGGGTGGGGTTTTATACCCGGCCGGGTTCAATCCCAGGTCATATATATATTTTTTAAATGTGTAAAAATAAAATAAAACAAGTAAATGTACCTTGCATGTGTTGCCTCCCAAGAAGCGCCTTATTTAACGTCGCGGCACGACGCCATCATTGTGTTCAGTCATTCAAACTTGGATCATAATAGTTTATCTTTTTCACACTTTCACTCCTAGGACGTTCATAGGAGTGCTCAACTTCTCGACTCTTCAATTTGGGAATCTTTCAAGGATCAAATATCCAGATTGTCATTGATTCATGCGGTGGGAGGAAAGGGAAGAAATTATCGTTTACTATGGTCAATGAAAAGTTTTTCGATCCCTCAATTTTGAAGAGGATTTCACAAATGTCATTGTCCTTTCCAAGTTTA